ATAAAATAATAAAGAGAAAAATCAGTAGAAGAGTGCCTGGGGTGAATTTATAATGCATTTAAAGTGTGAAGCTGTCCATTTAACCCTTAACAATATTCATTTTCTTCACAGTGTGCAAACCTTGTCAGTAGTTTGAAAAGCTATGAATTTAAATAACCTTAAGCAGCCTGAGAAATGAATAATTTGATAGGTATATCTCACAGATGGTTGAAATGTCTAAAGTTTTTTTTTCTTTTTCCCTGAGAATATGCTGTAGGTTTTCTGCCAAATTTAGGTTGTAAGGAAGGCAAAAAAAATCAAACAATAAATGCTCCATATTTGCAAACTATGAACACTAAGGTAGCATTTAAAGAGAACAGTGTCATTCTCTCCTCTCTTGATCCTTTAGAGGAGTGACCTGAAAAGCAAGAGCTTTTTTTATTTGTTTTTAAGATGTTTTTCTTTTTAGTTAGCCAAAATGAATATTTAATCTAAGATTAAAGTCAGTGCCTCACCGGGGCCTCTCCAGCTTGTCTTTATTGTTTTGTAAAACGTAATGCTTATTTCAATATTAATTCAGATACTGACAACTTGACTAACATACTATGATTGATGTCTCATTGAAGGGACTCTAGTGAGAAACAGAACATCTTTTTCCTTCTGGCTGTTGATGTGTACAAACACACTCCTTATCTTGAGCAAATAACTGAAAAAAATGTTGTTAACCTAGGTCAACACACACCTTTACCAACATACATTTATTAAAAGCCAGTGTCTTTACCAGAAATATGGTCTGGATATAGAGTAGGTATTTCTGATTCTCTAAAAGAGGATCCTGTCATGAGGATGCCTAGGATTGATCTGATTCACTTTCCCAGCCATGGATATGCCAACAGAGGAATATGTGCCCACGGCTCCAAAAATAACTCCCAAACAAACAAAAATAATAATATGGCAGCATTTTTGAAAGGGTCAAGGTTCAGAGAAGACATTTTTAAGTAAGAATCAGGAATATACTAAACCTAAAAATATAAAAAGTGTTTATTAACCCAAAATTATATTGGCCTTCAGAAAGCATGAGAAAAACAGAAATGTTTGAGGAAATTTGTGATAACAAAACTCTAAATTGTAATGGGATAATTACAATTTCTTAAATATTTCAACACCGTGATAATAATACTAACAGCTGAAAATACTGTTTAAATATATTTAAAACATTTTTAAATGTCAAAATGAATTACATGGTTTTATATAAACTCACATTCTAACAATGACACTGGTGCATGAAATAGGTAAGTTATCCAATTAATGGTAGGAATTAGAACACAGATCTTCTAATTCTAAATTCAGTGTCTTTTACTCCACAAAGCTGAAACATATTTGTAAAATTCATTGTAAAAGATATTCAGATTTTTATTTGAAAATGAAGTAAAAATCACTCTATTTTACATGGGAGATAACTATATAATTGGAGGTTGGTTTTCAAATCCTTGTTTGCTTTTATTGTCCTAGTTATCAATATGTCTTTGGTTTAACATTGATGTTACAGAAAATTCTTTTCAGTTGAAATTCGATTTCTTTATAATCTGCAGTGAGTAAGACAACCACAGTTTCTGCAAAGTATCTGTTTTTCTGTCAGGAGATAAATACCTTAAGGAACTATTACAGAAGTAATTTCAATCAGAAACTGTTTTTTAGGAAGGTAAAAATTTAGCTCTTATGTGAAGAATTAGCTTTGCAAGAAAATTAATAAAAGGGTTGAAAGTAGAGTTTGGCCAAGGGAGCACCATATAAAAAGTCATGAAGGTATTTTGAAGGGGCAAAGCATGTTTGGGGAACCTAAACAAGGCCAATGAGCTAAAGCCCATATAATAAAGGGGGAAAAACAGAAATTCAACCTGCGCAGTTGACAGGGACCAGATTATATAGACCCTTGTAAGGACAAGTTAAGGATTTTGCTGCTTATGTGTTTTATGCAAGCATGTTACATGGTTCAAGTTACATAGCATGGTTCCAATTTACTAGCTTCATTTTCTACTTGGTTTCTTGAACTTCCTTCTAGACAAACTGATCTACCCACTAACTCTTAAATATATCATTTAATTCCCTATCTTACTTCCATTGCTACCATCAGTTGTCTATTACTGGTTGAGTTTATTCCTCTCAGTCCTTGTCCTACTGCAACAAAGAATTGAAAGGCATAGACACAGAAGTGAAGCCAGTGAAAGTTTAATTTGAACACACTCTGAGGGAGGAGTGGGCCAGAGTCAAGGTGGACAAAGGCTTCGATCCATTAGAGGGGAGGTCTATACATTGCATTCTGGCTAGGAGGCCCCTTTTGATTGACAAGGTTGGGTTATTTGATTGACAGGTCCACCTGTACAGCCATCCTTCTCAGTGTGCATGTCCTTTCCTATGATGAGACGTATTTTGGGCAGTTCTGAATTTTGTTCGATTGCGCCCACATTGGGATCAGGTTGGGACAAGTTTGGCCTGGTCCTGATAGGCAAAGAAGTTATTTCCTGAGGGAGGAAAACACTTCTTCTCCTCTCTTAGGTTCATTCCCTGGGCTCTGAAAACTGAATTAACAAAAGATAGACTAACAGGAGAAAAAAGAGTTATTTCATGTGCATATGAGGGCCTCAAAGAAATAAAATGAAAAACCCCAAAGAGGAATCAGACCTGAAGGTTTATAGGACATTTTTGACAAAGGACAATAAATTTCATGAGGAAGTGGAAAGAAAAAGGGTTTTGAACTTCTGGGGGTGGTAAATTGTGGGAAGGTAATATATGGGGGCAACTAGCAGAAGATACTGGTTACTTAGTAAAAGTCTGTGCAGGCCCATTTCAGGGCTGAGCTTTCCATTTTCTCATGGCAATAAAACTCTCCATGAGAGAGGATTTATCCTCATTTCTCAGAAGTTTCTGCTCTTAAGCAGATACGGGAAGGTCTGAGAAGTCTTCTCCGTGCATCTGTTGATTCTCAATGACCTTCAGCTCAAAATAATCCATATGCGGAAGAAGTGTTTTGAGGGGTGGCATATTATAATCTCCAATACCACTTTGAATAACTGTATGATAGCATATTCATGCTGTACTTTCCCCTGGACTCTAAGTCTTTATAAACAGAAAATTCTCTACTTCTCATTAAAAGAGTCTAGGAAAGACTCAAAGGAAACCTAGGAAATGGATCAAGATTGATGCCTAGGGTACACACAATCCAAAATTCTTAACAATTATTTAAAATTAATAAATACTTGGTGCTGAGAAACACAATACTATTGGTGGGCCTAGGATGTTAGGAATTCCTAAAAGATAGAAAGGTGTGCATCAAATTTCTGAAATACCTATAGCCCAAAACATACAAGTGTTTTATAGTTCTGGAGGGGTGGAAACATTCAGTAACTAATTCTGAACTCAGAAGGAATGGATTAAAGGTATAATCAGAATCTCTGGGAAATGTTCAAGTTGATAATTTGAGAAATAGCACTTAGAACAGCTTAGAAGTTTGGTCTTTCAAGAAGTAGGCAGCAGAAACATTTACCTGTAAGTATGAAAAATTGTACCCAAGAAACAGGGCAGTGCTCCTAGGAGATAGTTTATTCCTTATGGAAGCTTTCCAAAAGAATTACTAATGGATGTACTTGTGCAAAATAACTAATTTTATGTAAATTCTTCAGGGTCAGGTATATCACATTAACTACTGTCTACTCATCAATTATAAATTACCCAATAAACTAATTCAACAGTGAGTTTCAGGTGCTCAGTACAGAAGCATTTATCTTGAATCCAATACTCCTACAAGTTCTCAACTTGGTGTAACATGTAGGATACCACCAAGCGCCCAGTTTTCATGTGTTCCTAATGACAGAGTAAAGTTCATAAACCACTTTTAAAATTTACTGTTTCAGAACTTGGTTATTAGATCATTAGCAACATCGATCTAGTTGTTATACATACAATACATATGATGGCACAATACATATCAATTTAAAGCACATATGAAATATTTCTAAATATTTACAATATGCTAAGTCATATTTCAGTGAAAAATTCCAATGAATTGAAATTGTACAGAAAATGTCTTTTGACTTATGTTAAAGTCAATGTAAATAGAAAAACAGAAGATGACCATATGTTAGAAGTTAGAAATGACATATATAAATAATCTAAGGTCAGACTGGTAATTAAAATGAAAATTAGGAAATACCTTCAATAAATGAAAATCAAGATGCATATAAGTCTATGTTTAGAAGGAAATTATAGTCTTAAATCCACATAATAAAAAATAGAAAAGGCAGGGCAAATAAGCTAAGCACCCAAATCAAGAAGTTAGAATATAAAGCAAACCAAAACAAAGAAATTAGGAAGAAGGAAACATTAAAGATAAAAATGCAGGTAAAGGAAGTATATAATACAACAATCATCAAATCAAATATTGGGTATTTGAAAAACCTAATAAAATGGATGTCCTCCTAGAACAAAAATAAAGGCACAAAAGATGATACTGAGAATTTTAAAAGGACATTACTGAAAATACTGTATCTATTAAAACTAATATTCTATAAGTAATTTAACTGCAATAAATTTTTAAATACAGATTTTTAAGGATGTATTCTTAGGAATGAGAATGAACAAAACTGACACTCAAAGATATATTAAATCTGGACAGTCTTACAACAATTAAATAAATTACTTTTCTTTAAAATATTTGCATATAAATGATGTTAAAGCACAGGTGACTATTATAGGAATCTTCTATCAGCTTTTAAATTCCGAGTCTGGTAGTATCAAAATATCTGCCATATCAGAGTCCTGTTCTGTTGCTTGATAAGACATCTGATAAAAAGTCAGTACATTTTTATAAAAAAGATAATGCATAAAAATTAAGAATAGAAAGGAATTTCTTTAATGAGGGCATTAAAATCTATGAAAAGGTCTATACCACACATTACAAAATCTACAACAAAAATCTATGCTGTATATATTTGGTTGGAAGTACTGAATGTTTTCTCTTTCAGATAAGGAACGAAGCACGGAGCCTAGAACCCCTGTTCCTCTTCATCGCTGGGCTTAGGTCCCAGCAAGGCAGTCAGGCAAAGCAAACAAGCATGAACATTCGGCACAAGGATCCGAGCAGGGAGAAATGAAACTTCTTATTTGCAGAATCCAAAAGAATCCACAACATGTGACTAACGTGAATTATTAACAAGTTTGCTCAGCACAATTTATCTGATATACCACTAACAAAAAAGAAATAACATTGTAAAACAGAAACCTTCAAACCTAGCATCAAAATTATTAAATATCCAGGAATGATTCTAACAGAGGATCATATCTATGTAGAAAACTATAAAGCTTTTGATAATGAAAATTAAAGAACTAAATAAATAAAGTTATATTACATGTTAGTTGATTAAAAACAATATTGTAACGACACCAATTCTTCTCAAACTGATCTTCGGAGGACTCAGCATGTATTTGGTGACACTTTACAAGATACTTCAAGAGTTTAATAGAGAAGAGCTGGCGATATTGTTTGGAGGACTTTCACTCTGTTCTTTTTCCTACAATCTTATTGACTGACTCTGCGTGATGGGGGCAATTTAATTCTGTGAGTTTTCCTTAAGCTTCAGATTTTTTCATTGTCATCCAGAACAGACTACATGCTTTGGACAGGAAGACTGCACTGCTCCCAAGAAGCCATTTCCAAATTACTCCTAATAAGCTAAGGAGTACACATCTACCCTTTGGCTATATCTGTCTCTCTCCAACTTGAAGGAGATTGGTTTGATTTTCCTGGGTTTAGTGGACTCACTTTTCCCCAGCTGTGTCTGTGAAGCATAAAGAGCATTCTCACCAAACTACAAAAATAAATTTCTACAGATATTTGGATACCATTTCCTTTTTTCTTATAAGCAAACTTTCTGAAAAGTTTATAAGCAAAACTTTTCAAAGATTTTGGGATAAAATTGTAACCTACCTTTTGCTTGTAAGTATTAATATTCTTTCCTAGTTCTAATTTACTTTAGTTTAGACTTCTAAGTCAGAAGGAGAATTTCAGATCTGCTTTCTTGTAGTTTACATCCAAAGTGCAGCTTTGAAATTTTAACTCTGGAAATTTTAGCATTGCTTTCTCATTATTTCAATGTGATACTCTTCCAAGCATACACCCAGTAAATAACAGTTGTATAACCAGATGATATGAAATACTGTTACTCAAAATGAATAACTGAAACATAGTTTCTTCTTTGAGTAATTTTGAATCATTACTGTGACTAATTAAGTCTATCCTTCAGCACTTAACACCCCAGTGGAGAGAAGAAAGAGGTAAGAAGGAAAAGACAGAAAGATACAGGTTGAGGAAAACAGATGGACAAGGGAGAGAGGAACAGCATGGAATGAATGAGAGAGAAAGAGAGAGAGAAGCCACAATCATTTAGACTAGAAAGATGTCATTTTTCATATAATTTTATTTCAAAACCAATGTTCAGAGAGAGTAATAATACAGTTATTTTATATGGGAAGGGCTTCTCTACTTTATTTCACAACTGAATACTTGAAATTCAGCTGTGATTATCATGATTAAAAAGTTATTCTGCTGGCTGAAACTATGAGGTTGGAAGTGACAGAATGTTTATAATATTTGCTTATATCTTACACATGAATTGAGCCTATGTTAAAAGATAATAATGTATATTCTGCATCATTTAGCAATCAAAAGGACAAGAACAGAAAGACTGAAAATAGATTTGACATTTTTCTTTTCCCCCAACAAAAGCTAGGAGAAAATAATGAAATGCACAAACAAATTTACTTATATACACACACAAGCAAACTGGTCTCTTAAAAACTAGAAGCAAAAAGATAAGAGAAAAAGGAAAAGAGTAGATTGAGGTGTGTTACAGTCAATTCACTTTTCTTTCATTGTTTTAACTAGATTATTGTGTACAATATAGTGTTGGAGAAACTGCAGATCTAAGTTATATTTCTCAGCTCCAATTCAAAGTATTCTTTTTCATTAGTTTAATACCTTAGAACAATTTGCATTGCATTGAAACCTTGTAAAGCACAGTGTTACATGTGAAACTTTGATCTCCAAAAAAAATCAGGATCAAAGTTTTCCCTGATCTGGACATAAATCTCAGCTAAAATAAAGTGATAATAGTCTAGTCAAGAAAAAGCAACCCAGTTCAAATGCCTTTGAATTGGTGTTACTATACATGGTTAGTGCATTACTGAGTTAGTTAATCATTTCTTTGAACTTCCATATTCTGCTGTCAGTAGGTTAGGAGCAAATGCCAGTTACTGTTACTCTGACATTCATTTTCAGTACTAGTATTTCTAAACAGAAAAAGAAAAGAATAAACATGTGTGGCTCTGAGAAACGCAATACAGAGGAAGTTCATCATGTAAAGAAATGCACAGAGGATCTAACATCTTTATTATCCTTAACTGGAAAATTCTCATCCTAAATAACAGACTGATTGAATCTGTAGTTGTTATTTTTTGTTGTCGAAGTTAATTTGACTGTCAACTGCTATAATTAATGAAGTTATTAATGTGAAGTCAAGCAGCCTGAGCTTGGATCACAGCTCCTCCAATTACCAGCTACTTGAACTTGAGCCAATTACATGACCTCTTCAAGCCACAGTTGCTCCATTTGCAAAATGGGGATTTTAATAGTACCCATCATACAAGATGGTCATAAGCATTAATAAGATAACAGTTGTAAAGGATTTTCCATGGTGAGTAATTATGCAGTATTTCCTACTCATAACTGATTATCGGATCACAGAGATTTCAAAAATATTTTATCAACAAGAAGAATTTTAAAGTTTTTTCTGTGGAATTATCAGAATTCAATAGAAGAACAGCCAAGGAGATCAACAGACTGGCCTGTGATTCTCCATCCTGTGGAGGAAATAGAACAGTTCAACTCTTAACTTCTTTTACACTTTTTTTTTAAAACGGAGAGTTGTAAACATATCCTAAAGTAGTGAGAACATTATACATTATAAAACCCCCTGTATCCATCATCCAGTTTAATTAATTTACTTTTCAATATATTTTATATAGTGTTTTTCTTTACAAGATTTGGCCTGCCAAGGATTCCTGATGCCAAAAAAGTAAATGTGAAAACCACTGGCTAAATACATTCTAGCAAGAACTGAAATCTTTCTTAGCCATTAGTTTGAGTTGAGGCACCAAAAGAATTCTGTACATAAAAAGCACTTCAAGTTTGAGTCCGTTTGTGTTCAGCTTCCTCATCTCTGACTGCCTCTAGGTAATCCAGTTCAACCCAGGCATGTGGCTTTACACTCTGTCGTACGCCACTGGCTCCAGATGTCATCTCTAGCCCTGACCTCTCCATGTGTGTAGAATACATAGTGGATGTCTGATAAGCATTGCCGACACAAAATGCGCCAATTAGAAACCTTCGTTTTCTCACCCACCGCCATCTGTCTTCCCCATCTCAGTAAATTGATACTGCCATTCTCCCAGTCACTTACCAAACTGGAGGGATCATTCTGCTTCTCTCTCTCTCTCTCTCTCTCTCTCTCTCTCTCTCTCTCTCTCTCTCTCTTTGTATTTATTTTTGCCATTCACATCAGAATGTTTGTATTTAAAAAGACCCACTTCAGTTCTATTCACTCCTCACCACATGCGCAGCCACGACCCCAGCTGTCCTCCGTGCCTGTTCTCTTGCCTTCTTGCAACCCATTCTCAATGGTGTGAGCAACCGGAGTGATCTTTTGAAAACACAGAGCAGATCCCGTCACTCCCCTGCTCGAGGTCCTCCAGAGGAGCTCTGTCGCTCTCCGAATGCAATCCAAACCCATCCCAGGGCCCTCCCTGCACTTGCTCGCCCGCCACCTCCGCCCGTGTTCCCGTTCTCTGTCCTCACCGCAGGCCAAACACGGGGCCCGTTGCCCTTTTTATGCCATTCTTCAAGTAACCACACCAGCCTGCTGTGTCTTCTGCCTTTGCACTTGCTGTTCCCTCCGCCTGGAGCACTTTTCGGTCAGATTTTTAAAAGCTGTCCCTTTCATAGCCTCTTCACACCCTACGGGTCTCTGCTTCCAGAGTATCTCCTCAGAGAGCTACCCCTGCTCACCCAAACTAAAGTAGGCCCTCTCCCAGCCACTAGGAAAGTCACATAGCTGTCTTTACAGCTTGCATCACTATCTGAAATCATCTTTTCCATTCGTTGTATTTTGTCTTTTCATTTTCTAGAAAATAATCTCAATGACACCATGGACTTGGTCCTGTTAAGTAAATTTTTCCCCAATATCTATATGCTGGCTGACATAATACATGTTTGTTTTCATAATATTGAATAAATACAAATACTATTCAGCAGTGGAGTGTGGACCACTGTCCTTGTAGATCAAAGACTTCACTCGTAGCTCCACCCATTTCTAAACGAGCTTTAGTTACTCACTTTATTTCCCAGAGTCATTTTCTCTGTCTTTTAAACAGAGATAATCACTACGACACATTACTATTGAGAAGATGGCACAAAATGATATAAAGCCTAGTCTCCATTTGTCTCCACTGCAGACCCATCCCCTGCCCTCCCCTGCCCCTCGCCACAGCTGGCACCCCTGACATGTTACCACCTAGATTCATTTTCCCTCATGTTTCTCTTGGAGATTCAACAATGAGCAGAGCTTGCTCCTGCTGGCAGGCCCGCATTCTCTCCTCATTACACTATGGCTTCCTCCCCCCTGACCGGGTAACACTTTGCCCGGCAGCTCCTCTTCTCTTCCAAGTCCCAAGTCTTATCAGGCACTGGTTACTCCATCCCTTCCTTTTGCCCGTTCAGAAGTATAAAAGCAGAAAAATTTCCTCCTACCCCTTTGGGTGCTTTAGCTGGTCTATTAATTAAGTTAACATAAGATACATTAACAGGAGAAAAACAATTTTATATTTCATACATACAGGAACCCCCATAAAAATATGTACTCAGAGACAGTCAGGTAATTGAGGCTTGTGTGACATCCTGATTTAAGGGATGGAACAGGGGTCTCAGGCTCCAAAGGGGAGCAGGGTAACTCACAGGACCACAGAAGACCAGGTGTCGCCCTGCTATACAGATGGTCATTCAGATTCACAGTTACTGCTGCTAGTAGCTCCATTTCTGGGTCAGGCCTCCTGTCTAAGTTCTTTTGCATAGTTCAGGGAGAGGTAAAGGTTTTTTCTTGAGTTTGCTAGGTTTTGATTAACTTCACCTCATAATAATCTATGTGCTAAAGCAGCGTGCTTCAGGGTGACATATTCTGCTCCCCTTCAGAGGTCTCCCTGCTATTGTTAGTGCTGGGATGCCTTAATGCCCAAACCTTTGTAGATAATTCTTCCCTTGGCTAACTTTAGCTAAACTTTCTTAGGTGAGCATTTGTTTCCTGCCAGGACCATGATTGACAAGGATATTTTATGTGGACACGTTCTACATGGCCTAATGCATAGTTTACTTTGACAAATACTTACTGGATGCTTATTGCATACCAGGCTTTAAACAGGCAGTCAGTCAACACTACTTGTATCTAACATATATCCATAAGATCATGCAAATGTTCTAATTATATAAGTTAGCAAGGCTTTAGGCAAAATTAAAATTCAGCACAAGTCACCACCAAATTAAAATATGGGTTAAGAAAATGCAGCAAATGATTTGTGTTCTGGCATGCTGCTGCTGTTGTTGCAGCTAGTGTTTCTGCTGACTTTATGCACATACCCTGGAAATAAGAAATAGATCCATACACGTATACCTACATTAGTAAATAGGTTTATTTACTCAAAGCTGCAGCTTATCCAACTGCAGAGAAGAGTTTATGTACTTGCCAGTTGTCTGCTCAAGGGCATCCTCTGCAAATGCAGTGCTGAATGAGGTG